AATTTTTTCGTTTTCATTTATAGCCTTTATAGTCTTTATGGCTTTCTTGTCTGTATGAAAATAATAGAAGAATACTCTTTTGTGCATAAGCCATCTGCCATTTCTTTAGTGGCTTAACTTTGGTTGAAAACCTGGCTTTTTGACAATTCTTGTCACTTGTGTAATGCTTATGATAGTAGTAGATAATAATTATAGTGTTTTAAATTGTTAGACATGTACAAACTGGTTGTTAAATTGTTACTGAAAATAATATCTACATTGATTACCTCCCTTGACAGGAGGATGGAGGCAGACGGCTGAAGGTATCAGCTGAAACTAACACAACATCTACAATATGTATCATGCTTTTCTCTATACTCCTACATTATACAGTGTTGTATAGTATCATAATGGTTAAACTGCAAGTATTATTCAATGTAGCGAATTATGGCAAACTTGAAATTGCAACATGTTTAAACGCTTCAATATGAAATAATCATTTTGGTGCCTTTACCTGTAACCATTAGTATACTTTGTGGACATATAAAGTGTGGACATAATTATGTATGCTCCCCAGTACAATTTATAGAATGGTGAGCATATACATGTATTGTCACCACTTTGTCCGTCCATCTGTCTGTCTATTTAAGAGAAGTAGGGGGCCATGTAACTGTTTGTTTGGTTGATTGGGTTTTACGTCACACCAACACAGTATAGGTCATTTGGCGATGTTCCAGCTTTACTGCTGGAGGAAGACCTCAGATGCCCTTCCGTGCATTATTTCAGGCATGAAAGGACTAGCTGGATAGCTTCCTTACATGAAAGAATCCAAAGTCCCTGTTGGGATTCGAACCCACAGCGGTAAGGGGCAAGTGGCCATGTAACTGTAAACAGAACAAAAGAGAACAATAAAGTTAATTCCGTAACAATAGAATAAGGGGCCGTGGCCTTCTATTAAACAAAAGAAAATAACAAAAGAATGACGCCTTAGTCCATTTAAATGGCATGTCCGTCCGTCCGCTATTCTTGTCTGAGACATAACTGTGAAAGAACCAGAAGTATCAACATGAAACTTTGTAGGCAGATAGATCTCATTGGTTAGAGGTGCAGTGCAAAAGAACCACATCTCTGCCTTGCCTAATTTTGAAGTTATTGCCCTTTGTTCATTTTTACACTTTGAACTTTGTACGGGACATAACTCTGACACTACAAGAGGTATTCTTTTCTGTGTCCAAAACCTATTCGAGAGCATCACCTGGTTCAACCGGTTCTTGTTTAGTGTTATTCTCAACTGGCTGTATTATAGATCCAATTGTTTACAATGAATGATTTTACTATTGTAGTTTATTTTTTCAAGCAGACAAGAATAATTTATTGGGAATGGAATAAGCAACATCATTGAAAATTTGAATAATTAAATGTTGTAAATTATTTCTGTATAACATAATTATACTGCTATTATACATGATTATATACATATACAATATTTACTTCACTATTTTTGAGGAATACTGTCCTTGTGTAACACCATGTCCAATTTAGTTTTTTGTGATGCCAATCAACCACTGAAGGTACTTGCTAGAAGGCCCATAACTCTAGCTTGGATTTTGAATGAAGAGTTGCTGGTTAAAGTTTTGCCTCCATTCTTGAATTTATAATGAGTAATATGACAATCAGTTAAAATCATGGTCAATTTAGGTACTATTTTTATATGAAACAAGTGTCATACATTAATGACATTTTCTGATAGATAAATTCACTAGATTTGTGTGAAGTTGTAATCATAAGCTCAATAGGTTCATAGAAAAACAAATTACTATTTATGCAATATGATAACTCTGTCATGTATTTTTAATGAAATCTTTCCTGTTATAAATTAATGCATTATCAAGGCTCTTGTTTTACTATCAGGCATTGAGAAGAGTTGAATGTACTGTCCTACTGGCAGCTCTTGTTATTGTTTGACTGTCCAAGTCTTCCTCTATATTCTTCATCATATAAATTTGTATACAAGCTTGCTTTATAATAATGTACAGGTGTTTTAAATTTAAAGAATTGTACACACAGGTAAAACCATTAACACTGACATATTATAAAAACAAGAAAGCTTTTTTATTTCCATTGATACTGCATGTGATATCACTTAACGTAAGAATTATTTTATGGTTAAAACTATTATAAGAACTGTTTTACAATGTATTTCTCTTGTTAACTCTTAGTGTGCTGGCAGCAAAAGATGTGACTGGTACACACTAAGGTCAGCTAGAACTTCTCTCGGCTGTCTGAGCATCATGTTAGCTTTGCTAACATGATATATTTTGAAATATTTTCTAAATGTTGGTTTTCAACAGTCCAGATTGAAATAGGGAAAGACATACAGACGTACAAGAAATTCACCAGATTAAGGGTGAACCCTAAACTAATGGATTTTTCCAGCATTGAATTTGCATCAGTCCATTCAAAGGCTAAGCAATTTTGAATATCAAAATACCATAATTTAGCAACCTCAGGCCAGGGTGCAGGAAAGTTTAGGTTGGCCTTGATTTATACTGGTGGTAAAGGCTTATCACCTGTAGTTCCAACAGGTTAAGTAATAAGCTCCTGCTTAATGTACTACATTTATTTCAAACGGAAATAATTTATTTCATTATGATAATGAAATAGAGTTATTAATTTTGACAGCTCATGTCTGTTTTTTTAGCTACATCATTACAGTATAGTCATGCACTTTTAGCTTAGTATATAATGTCTTTTATATGTAAGAATACATATTCTTGTATAAACACTGTCCATGCAGGTATATATTAACAGAGAAAAAAACATGCATTAACTGAAAAATTTACTTGCTGAACATGCACAGTTGTTGCACAATTTTAGCTTGACTATTCATAGAACAGTTTAGCTATCCTATTCCCCCTGGGTATCTATGTTTGAGTCTGCAAAACTGTTTGGTTAAAGTTTTACATTCAACAATTAATATCTCATTTAATGCAATATAGAGAATATAACAAAATTCTTTGGTCCGTGCGAATTTCGTTTCCGCGCTAGTTCTCTGCAACTAATGGCTGAAATTCAATGAACCTTTATGGGAATCATCAATATCAAGAGGAGATGCGCATGCATATCCTCGGCTTGTTCCAGTCAGACCTTTTAACTCAGAGTTATGGCCCTTGATTAGAAAAAATATTCATATAGAGCAGTAATCGTTTCCACGCTACTTCTCTGCAATTACTGGCTGGAATTCAATGAATTTTTATAGGATTGTGACCTTCAATACCAAGAGGAGATGCGCATATCATTGCCTTGTTCCGGTCAGACTCTTTAACTCAGACTTATGGTCCTTGATTAGTAATACAGTATGCATATTAAATAGAGCAATAATCGTTTTCCCTCTACTTCTCTGCAACTACTGGCTTGAATTCAACGAAACTTTATGGGAACCTTCAATACCAAGAGGAGATGTGCATATCATTGCCTTGTTCCGGTCAGACACTTTAACTCAGAGTTATGGTCCTTGATTAGTTATGCAGTATGCATATAGCACAATAATCGTTTCCGTGCTACTTGTCAGCAACTACTGGCTGGAATTTAACAAAACTTTATGGGAACCTTGAATACCAACAGGAGATGAGCATATCGTTGCCTTGTTCTGGTCAGACACTTAAATCAGAGTAATGGCCCTTGATTAGTTATGCAGTATGCATATAGAGCAATAATCGTTTCCATGCTACTTCTCTGCAACTTCTGGCTGGAACTCAACAAAATTTTATGAGAACCTTCAATACCAAGAGGAGATGCGCATATTGTTGCCTAGTTCCGGTCAAACACTTCAACTCAGAGTTATGACTGTTGATTAATTATGCAGTATGCATAAAGAGCAATAATCATTTCCGCGCTACCTCTTTACAAGTACTGGCTGGAATTCAACGAAACTTTATGGGAATCATCAATATCAAGAGGAGATGTGCATATCGTTGGCTTGTTTCAGTCAGACCCTTTAACTCAGAGTCATGGCCCTTGATTAGTTATGCAGTATGCATAAAGAGCAATAATCATTTCCACGCTTCTTCTCTGCAACTACTGGCTGGAATTCAACGAAATTTATGGGAACCTTCAATACCGAAGAGGAGATGCGCATATCGTCGCCTTGTTCCGGTCAGACACTTAAACTCAGAGTAATGACCCTTGATTAGTTATGCAGTATGCATATTGGGCAAACTTTATGGAACCTTCAATACCAAGAGTAGATGTGCATATCATAGCCTTGTTCCAGTCAGACACTAACTCAGAGTTATGGCCCTTGATTAGTTATACAGTATGCATATAGAGCAATAATTGTTTCCACGCTACTTCTCTGCAACTACTGGCTGGAATTCAATTAAACTTTATGGGAACCATTAATATTAAGATGAGATGTGCATAATTTGTTGCCTTGTTCAGACCAGACCCTTCATTACAGAGTTATGGCCCTTGATTAGTTATGTAGTATGCATATAGAGCAATATTGCTATTTCTTTGCAACTGCTGTATTGATTTCAACAAAACTTTATGGGAACCATAGATACAAAAAGGCAATTTACATCTCATTGCCATGTCCAGGTATTACTATTTAACACCGAGTTAATTAAGGCTCTGTTATTGCCCTGAATATTTATAATGTACAAAGAATATTACTGTTTACGCCATGATAAATATATAAATAAAGCTTTATGTCTTCAGTTGTTGTGTTAGTAATAACCAGTACTCGGCGGGGGATATATATTCAACGAATTTGCTTGTTAATTTTTACATTATTAAAGTGTTTTAAATTATTATCAAGCACTGAAAATAGTTGAGAGACTGTCTTCACTGACAACTCTTTTATACGGGTTGACTCGGGGCTCATATAAAATAGCTTACTGACAGCCCCTTTAGTTTCATTATCAAATGAAAAATTGTGAATTAACTCTCTATTAATGCTTGCCTGTCTTAATAAGATTCAATCAACCTTTATCTTAATTACATATTTATATTGGTAACAGATAGGTACACAAATATGTCACGATCACGTGTTTGGAAACGAAGTGAAGATAGTGAGCCTGTAAGCTTCTTTCATTATCAACATCAAGGTGAAATGCCTGCCATATGCTGACAATATCCAATTCAAAATGCATGCTGGGATCATGTTAGAATTTTGCTGCTGCTTGGAGTTGACAATCAAACACAAAATAAATTGCTAACATCAATGTATAATAAGTGTACTATTATTAGTTAAAATGTAAATACTCAAGAAATAAAAATTTAAGATAGAAATGTACAAATGAAGAGGAATTGAATAAAATAACATTATCAATTTGGATGAAAATGTAGAGAGATGAATTATTTTATGAAGAGCATGCTATGTTATTGTTGGGTTTGATTGTCACTCCACAAGTTTATTATGCTTGTCAGCTCATAGCATGCTGTCAGGCTAACTTTTAATTCCATTTTGTTGTAGGCAATTTTTATTTTCCTTGTTTTGCAGTTGGCATGGTTATTATGGAAATTAATATTTATAACATTATTGTAAGACATGATTAAGTTTTTATTGAATTTTTAATAGTGAAACAATTACAACAATGTCTCTTTGTTGACAGGTGATCTTTAGTCGTAGGTTGTTATATATTGGTGAATTTGAAATTTTGGAGGTAATTAATGGAAGGTGGTCTGTTCTGAACAGATTTTACTTATACTCTCTTCCTGGCAGTCATTGTTAGATTTATGGTGTATTGTCCCCCGCCTTTTCGAAGAAAAAAGGGGGATTATTATAGAAATAGGCTCCGTCCGTCTGTCTGCACATCCGTCACACTTTCGTGTCCGGTCCATAACTTTCTCATTTATCAAAGGAATCTGAAATAACTTGGCACAAATGTTTGTTATAATAAGATGATGTGTCGTGCGCAACAACCAGACCCCTCCCTCCAAGGTCAAGGTCACACTTGGAGGTCAAAGATTAACATAGTCTGTTACAGGGTATATTTTGTGTCCGGTCCATAACTTTTTCATAGATCAAAGGTTTTTGTAAATACTTGCCACAAATAGTCACTATAATAAGAGGATGTGTCATGCGCAACACCTGCATCCCTACCTCCAAGTTCAAGGTAACACTTAGAGGTCAAAGGTTAACATAGTCTGTTTTAGGGTATATTTGTGTCCGAGCTAGACCTTCTTCAGGATTTTAAAATAACTAGGCACAAATAGTCACAATAATAAGACGATATGTCAAGTACAACACCTGCACCCCTACCTCCAAGGTCAAGGTCACACATAGAGGTCAAAGGTTAACAGAGTCTGTTATATGGTATATTTTGTGTCCAGTCCATAACTTCTTCATAGATCAAAGGATTTTAAAAATACTTTGCACAAATAATCTCAATAATAAGACGATATGTCAGGCGCAAAACATGGGTCCCTAACTCCAAGGTCACACTTAGAGGTCAAAGATTAACATAGTCTGTTAAAGGGTATATTTTGTGTCTGATCTATAACTTCTTCATAGTTCAAGGGATTTTGAAAATACTTGGCACAAACAGTTACAATAATAAGATGATATGTCAAGGTCAAGGTCACACTTAAAGGTCAAAGCTTAACATGATAGATTTTTTAATTCTGTGTTTCATTTTACTAGTATTTCTTTAATAAATTTATTGTTGCATTTGCAGATCTAGCATTGATCATAATTTTGGACTGAAAGTCCTTAGATCCATACCTCAATCTTTTGAAATAGCACAATTTTATGCTTCATATAAAACTTCCCCAAGGCAGGGATGTTGGTAACTCTGTTACAAATTCTTTTATTATTTAGTCCTTATTTCTAAATATTGAGAGATCAGTAGCATATTTTGTTAAATAATATATCCCAAACAGTAATTTTATCGCACAATAAAATCACTGTTTGGAGTTCGGATGGGAGGAATTATATCATGAGGGCGTAGCCCAAGTGATATAATGATTTGCATCAGAAAGACATGCAGTGATTTTGTCAAGCAATAAAATCACCGATTTGCATATATTATTTTGATGCTTACACGACATCATCAAATATATGCTGCCGTACCTGATATTAAGCTAAATTGCGCCTGATTTTTTTCCGTACTTATTTTCATGGTGTCACATTTTTAGTGGTTATGTCACATGTATTATGATTATGTCACATGTCTAAATATAGAACGTCAACAGTGATTTTATTCCATAATAACACACACTTTCAGTTCTTCTATATTCAAAAGGGAAAAATGCAGGTCATGTTAAAATAGTATTAGAAACATACAGAAAATATAAAAGAATTTATCTGTTCTAAAATACAAGGTGGAAAGAAATATATGTTGCTGAACTAAGTGGTAAGTCATTTCAATAAACCTTCATACAAACATATAAGTGTAAGTAAATTACAATGTATATGTTTTGAAGTATCTTGTTATGCTACAGTGTATAGAATACATGTGACAAATTCTATCTGATGAATGCCAGTCTGTATTTTCACCATTTGTTATAGAATATTATTACACTATATTCTCTTCTTAATATAGAAGATTGTGAATATTATGATCATTTATCATGACATACGATACTGGTATCAATGCAGTCTTGTTTAAAAAAAAAATTAGGTTATTTTAAAAAATATCACAGAAAAAGAAAATAATGGATATACAGAAATCAGTATGAGATATAATGTCTGCAATAAACCTTGTTTAAAAATCTTTGTATACTGTTAAATGATAAACTGATATGCAGAGTCATCTTCCTTGGTTAAATAATTTGGTAGCTTTTTTTCTGCTTTCATTTTTTTAGCTCGACTATTCGAAGAATATAAGAGCTATTGTAGTTGCCCCGGCGTCCGCGTCGGCGTCTGCGTTGGTTAAAGTTTTTTGTAAAGTCAAATATCTCAATTATTACTTGAGATATTCAATTGAAACTTACAATACTTATTTATAGTAACAAGGTACATCAGATTGACAAGTTGGATAACTCTGCCTACAATATTGACAGAATTATGCCCATTTTTAACTTAGAAATTTTGGTTAAGTTTTTTGTAAAGTCAAATATCTCAATTATTGCTTGAGATATTCAATTGAAATTTAAAATACTTTTTTTATAGTAACAAGGTACATCAGATTGACAAGTTGGATAACTCTGCCTACAATATTGACAGAATTATGCCCTTTTGGAACTTAGAAATTTTGGTTAAAGTTTTTTTGTAAAGTCAAATATCTCAATTATTGCTTGAGATATTCAATTGAAATTTAAAATACTTTTTTATAGTAACAATGTACATCAGTTTGCAAATTAAATAACTCTGCCTGCAATATTTGCAGAATTATTTGCCCCTTTGAAACTTAGAAATTTTGGTTAAAGGTCTTCAAAGATATTTTACTTGAAACTTTACACATGCACTTAGGGTCATAATTGGAGGGTCATAATTGTATGTCACTGACCAAGTTCCATAACTCTGTCTTGCATTAAGGCTGATTCATATCCCCTTTTCTACTTAGTGTCTTGGTTAATGTTTACATGCATGTTTACATTATGTTTTACATATCTCAATAACTATTAAAGATATTTATTTAAAACTTCACATATGCATTTAGGGTCATAATTGTAGGTCATTGACAAAGATCCATAATTCTATCTTGCATTTAGGCAGTTTTTTTCACCCCGTTTTCAACTTAGAAATTCATGGTAAAGTTTTGCTTGTAAGCTGTTATCTCAATAACTACTGAAGGGTTTGTGCCTTTTTTGGGACAATTTTATGCATTCATAATAATAAAGCAATGATTTATTTTATAAAAAATCTTAATAACAAGTCTTTGTACCTTTTCTGTCAAATTTATGTATTCATAGGTAATTAGTATTATTATATTCATAAAACACCCTTGTGACATTACCTTCCAAATAGTCAAGCCAATACTGTATAATTAGACTCTCTTTAAGGCCTATAATATAAATTTATAAAAAAAATTTAGCCCTTTTGTGAACTTAAAAAATTTAACATTATCAAGGCTCTTTTACTATCAAGCACTTAGAATAGTCGAGCGTGCTGTCCTACCGACAGCTCTTGTTATAATGTTACACAACAATCTGACTGATAAACACAGACTATAATGTACTCTATATGAATTATTGGTTACAGTTTAGAAGAAGACAAACTTGTCCTTAATTATAATTATAGCCTAATTAATGCACTTGTCCAACAAAAGCACATGTAATGTTCACATACAGTGTAAACACACCTGCTTTTAATATCTAAAGGTGGGATCGAATGTTTACCTTTGTTTGAAAAATATAGTTGTGTAGTAAAAAACACTAAATACCTACTCCTTTGATACCAGTATATGTAAAACCTAGCTGTGTATTAGCACAAGTGTTTTATATGTTAAATTTATTTGTTAATGTATATTTGTTATTTTTCATGCAACAGATATTAATATAATGGAAAAACAACTTATGAGACAGGTTCTTTAAAAATATATTTCACCTTCAATTTTGGCATGTGAATTGTGACACATGCATGAACTCAAAAACTTTACCTTTTAATGTGTAAAATCACTTTTAGATGTTATATGCATGTAAATTCAAAATATCAAGTACCCTATGTATACATTATAAGCTTGTAAATTTTAAGCATCTTGTTTTCTTTTGATAAGAAAGGGTGCAAAATTGATAGGTCAGATTTATTAGTCCTTGGAAGTAAGGTTAAGTGTCAATTTGTTAATGTCAGTTTGTGGCTGGAATTGAACTATTTTTCATCAACTAATACAATTTTCCCCTGAAATAAGTGTATTTTGTATTGGTTGGTGCAATTTGTTAAAACTTCTTCATTTACAATATAAACTAATGTAAGGAGATTGTTGAACTTAAGTTCACATTAAGTCATAAATCTATAATGTTATCATATAGTGAAACCTGTTGATGATCCTTTCTTTTTCATTTGTAAAATTTGTTGTGTTCAATGCTGATTGATTTAAAGACTCTCTCATTTCACTTTTCAAGAAGTTCCTAACTTCTGTATATAGTGCAGTATCATCTTCCCTTTGTCACTATAGTATAAATTTAAAACATAAGTTTTTATTTTACCCCCGAAAAAAATATT